AAAGATTTCATTGACAGAAGTAAGACTACAGGTGAAGCTCTAATTTTTTTGAGACTCTTGAGTTCCTTTTACATATGTTAAGTTTGAGGTGGAGAAGGGATGTCTGATATTAACAGGCATTTAGAAGTATAGAACTACAGTTCTTCACAGAACCCAAGAGCTCTTTCAAGAAACCTGACGTGGTTTGTACTATTTGATTATATACAATGGCTGGGGTGAATGAAGCCTGCAAAACAGCTCTTTGGATTGCTATTAAGGTTATTGTCTGCTTTGTGAAGTAAGATCTTGGAGGAGAAAGGTTTGAAGATTAGGAGTTTAAGAGGAATGTTAATCTACAAAGAGGAGAAATACTGCTTTTGAGGCAAAATGAAGGAGAGATTAGATAAAGCTGGAGAAATTTTGAGGTAGAATAGGGAAGATGTTAATATATTTGAGTCAATGGAGAATACAGGAAAAAATGATAAGTGGAAGTAGTGACTACAATCAACATAATTTCATGACATCTTATGAGTACAATACTTAATGCCTCTGATTCAGGGGTAAAGAAAGCAGTTGGTCAGGTTGTACAAGGTTGGATGAGGTTTTCTAGCTTGCTAAGAGACAGTGTTGAAATACTTGGCCCTGGCTCAGAAAGGGACAAAGAGAAAGAAAGGCAAGGCTATAGGTAGGAAGGCTGTGATCAAAGGTGTAAAGGGGGAAATTGAAGTGCTTAGAGAAGGCAGAACAGTTCCAAGTGATGATAAAGATTCAGAGCCTCATGAAGAAGTAGAGGAGAAGGTAACGTGGAGTAGTTCTAGGAACTGAGACCTCAAGGCATAAGATGAAGCTTTATGGTGGGCATTCTTTTTGAGAATAAGGATAGAGAAGAAAAATGTGAGCCAGGTGCTGAATTTCAGAGCAGAATATATATGTATTTATATGTTAAATTCCAGTTTATAGTACTGTGATGGTATGGGCAAGATAAATATTCCATTTTATAAATGATGAAATTAAGGCAAGAGATAGCTAGCCAGAGATCATGTAGTGTATGGTAACATAGCTACTCAAGGCCAATTCATAGGTTTTTGTGGGGTTTGGGGGAGGGTCATTATTCAGAATGGAACAATATTACTTAATGTGCAAAAATTAAAAATGTAGAAAATAATTATTATCCAAAGCTTACTCTCCACTAAGTCTGATACATGATCTTCCAGACTTCTAGCATATACATACAGGTACTTTTCTTTTTTTATCACTTAATATATTGTGAACTCATTTCCACATTAACTCATATTCATCATTTCTTTTTCTTTCTTTTTTAATATATCTTTATTGATTTCAGAGAGAGGAGAGAGAGAGTTAAAACATCAATGATGAGAGAGTGGTCATTGATCGGCTGCCTCCTGCACACCCCCTACTGGGGATCGAGCCCGTAACCTGGGCATGTGCCCTGACCGGAATCAAACCGCTACCTCCTGGATCCTAGGTCAATGCTCAACTGCTATACTAATTTATATTCCTATTGATAAGGATATGAGAATGTGTTTTTACTTCACTCTTACTACCACTGGGTATTATTAATCTTTTTCATCCCAATTTGCACAAAGGGGTATTTTCTTTTCAGTGTTTGTTTCTTTGTTATTGAGGTTAAATATTTTTTCTTATATTCACTGAGGCTAGATCTTCTGCTTCAAGATCACATGCTCTTGCCCAGCGGGTTGGGCGTTGTCCCATGCACCAAGAGGTCACTGGTTCGATTCCTGGTCAGGGCATATGCTGGGTTGCCAACTCAGTCCCCATTAGGGGAGTGAAGGAGGCAGCTGATCACTATTTCTCTCTCATTGATGTTTCTGTCTTACTCCATCTCCCTTCCTCTCTATCTAAAATCAATAAAAACATTAAAAAAAGAAATAATTAAAAAATAAAATACAGAAAAAAACTTATTAAAAATTGTTATAAATTTTAAAAGATCACATGCTCTTGTGCGGAATAGATGAGGAAGTAAAATAGATGGTTGAAATAGAGGTGTCAGTTCAAAATAGATGGTACAGGTGTGATCTGGAGTGACATTGCAAGACAGAGAAAGACCAGTTGATTCTCTTGTTCCACTGGGAAAGGGTGGACAGGAAGACTGCTCCTCCCTCCTCTACCAAAAAAGTGGAATTAGTTGGACTAGTTTCTCAAATTGTAGTAATACATTTTAAAAACATTTAATGTACTTTTGAACAAGCTAAACATTCCCATTCATTCTTTTTTTTTTTTTTTAATTTTATTATTGTTTAAAATATTACAGATGTCCCTTTTTCTCCCCAGTGACCCGTTCCACCCCGTTCCTTCCCCCTCCCCAGTCCCTCTCCCCACCATTGTCCATGTCCTTGGGTTGTGTATATATGCACACAAATTCTTTGGTTACTCTCTCCCCCTCCACCCACCTGCCCTCCTCCATCCCTCTGACATTCATCAGTCTCATCTATGCTTCCATGTCATTGAATCTATTCTGTTCATCAGTTTATTAAGTTCTTTAGATTCCACGTATAAGCGAGATCATGTGATATTTGTCTTTCGCTGCCTGGCTTATTTCACTTAGCATAATATTCTCCACGTCCATCCACACTGTCCCAAAGGGTACGAGATTATTCTTCTTTACAGCTGCGTAGTATTCCATGGTGTAATGTCCCACAGCTTTTTTATCCACTCATCTACTGATGGGCACTTGGGCTGTTTCCAGATCTTAGCTATTGTAAACTGTGCTGCTATG